GAGATGGTGAAGTAGACAGGTCAGACGGCATGGGTGGTAAGAAAATGGGAGGAGGTTGAGAAGGGATGGATGGGGAAGAGGGGTTGGAAACAGAAAAAGGAAAAATTGATTCATTGAAAACTCAATGGCGTGAAATATAAATGCGACCAGTTTGCCGATGTAAACACAAGTATCCCTTATGAGAATTACTGAAACCCAATAAAACACACTCTGTGGAACGATGCTGCAGTTTGTGGTCATTATAAGGACGGAGAAATGGGAAGCATGCACACCCAAATGTTTTAATGAAGGCATAGGATGGTGTCTTGTTGTAAAGAGTTTCGTATGGAGTTGAAGAGGGCTGATTTTGGCTGGTTGCAGGGAGTAGTTTGTAGAGGCCATCCTCAAGCTGCCCTTGCAGGAGGATCTTCTTGGATTGGAGGTCCTTCACATGAAAGAAAGTGGGGTAAAACTCAACCAAGGCTTTATTATCATGACACAGTTTACTAACACTTAACAGTTGTTTGGAAATGCCTAGAGTATGTAACACATGATTGAGTTTAACAGTTTTGACAGGAGATTTAAGTATGATATTACCAACATGAGAGATATCAATTTTCTTACCATTTCCCACCATCACTTGATCATCACCAAAGAACGGAGTGGGGTTGTCAAGTGTTTGCAGATCTGGAGTGAAATGATGAGTGGCTCCTGAGTCAAGAAACCATGGAGACTCCGTGGAAGAACTAGCTTCTGGGCTGCTGGATGTGCCAAGCATGGCAGTAAAGGCTTGCGACTAATATGAGTTATTGAGTCTAGCAGCATTTGCAAAACCACGGTTATATTGAGATGGTTGTGGGCGATATTGAAGATTTGTCCTGTGATGGCAGATGAAGGCCGAATGACCTATTTTCCCACAAATTTGACACACTCGTTTAGTGCTTTGGTTATTCCACTGTGTAGGGAATGGATGAGAGTTGGGCTTGCCAAGAATGCCAGAATTGTTGTTTGGTAAAGGAGATGATTGTTTTGGGAAGTTTGATGGTCGAGAATGGTTAGGATAGGAGACAGGATTTTGGGATCGGAAATTGGTTTGAGAGTATTGAGGGTAGGATTTTTGTGGCTGTTTGTATTGAGACAAGTTTAGTTGAGCTAGTTGGGCTTGAGTAATACTGAGGTTATCAACAGTTTGTTGTTCTTCAAGACGATATTCATGGTTGATAAGGAGGTTGTGTATTTCATCTAGAGATGGCCTATCGGGACGAGCACTAACACAGGAGACCATGGCATTATAGTCAGGGCCAAGGCCTCTAAAGGTATGAATTATTTTATCCCTGTAACTCAAAGGTTCTCCAATCGCAGCAAACTTGTCAAAAGTGGATTTCAGTCGATCTAAATATTCAGTGATACCCAGACCATCTTTCTTAATGTTCATCAACTGAGTTCTCAGACTTAATATCGTTGAAATGGAAGCCGATTGAGATACCTGGTTAAGGGAATCCCAAATCTCTTGAGCAGTGTCAAGTCCAACAATGCGACCCATCATGCTCTCAGTCAAGGATGAGTAGATCCAGCTCATTACGAGCCGATTCAGACGTCTCCATTGAGAAAACTCCGGATTAAGCTGTGTCATCTGATCATCTAGGTGCTTTGGTGGACACGGAGTTGACCCATCGATGTAGCCTTCAAGCCCATTAGCAATGATGATGTTGAGCATCTGGGTTTGCCATAAAAGGTGCTTGGTGGTGTCAAGTTTGACAGATATCGGTTGATTTAGAGGAGGAATAGATTGAAATTGCTGGATCTGATTTAGAGCTGGTTGAGGTTGTAGAACAGGAAGGGCAGGTTGAATATTCATGGGTTGATGAACAATTTGAGGATTATTCATTGGGTTTAAGGTTGGATCAGCCAAGGGTGTTGGATTGTTCGCCATGGGAGGTGGATTGAAGGGAGCCCAGTACGGCTCTGATACCAAAACGGAAAAAGGAGAAAGCAGAGAGAAAGAGAAACATGAAGACAAGAAATTTGTAATATGCCATCTAACATAATGAGGAAGAGCAACGTGCTCTATATACAAGGATTACAACAAAAGGTTATCCACATGGCAGAATACAAGAGGTCAGAGTAATAGAAATTATTACTATATACTCAAGGAAACCCGTGCACTGTTCATCCACACACTGTTTTTTAATAGTGTTCTGACAATTTTGTTCTTTTTCTTTCTGCTTCTTCCGTTTGTGGGTGGTGGGCCTGTTGGTCTTTCTGATTTTCTTAAAGTGATTGGACGACTCTGTCTCTGGGCTTCTGCCGCGGGTGTTTCTGTCTATTCACCCGTGTTAAGCCCTAACACTTTTTCTCCTTCGGTTTTGTTCTCCTCCGCCGTTTATGTCTCTCTCTCTCCCTTTTTTTTTTTTTGCCTTCATCTCCTCATTTCGTTCTTCTCTTTGGCTCGATTTTGGCTGGGATCCTGGGGGTTTTCCTCTGTGTTGTTGGTGTGTGGGTCCTTTTGGTGGGTTTTAGGCGGGAGTTTAGAGATTTTATTTTCTTTCTCCTTTGGGTTCTGCTGATGTTTTTATTTGTGATTATATGCTATTTTCGTCCCTTTCCTTCGGTGATGTTTTGTTGGATTTCCCCATTTCCTTCGGTGATTTCTCTGTAAATGGAGCCCTAGGGTCTTTTTTTTTACTTTCTCATTTCTGCTACTTCTCTCGCCCACTTTGGCCGGACGCTGTGCATTTTTCCTTTGATGCATGCCATTTTGGATTATTTTTTTGTTTTTTTGTTCTGCCTTCTTTGGTGGTTTTTATTTGTGGTTTTGGTTTGTTTTCTTCCTGTGATTTTGGTGGACGCTATCCTGATTCATTTGGGTTTTGGTGCACGTTTTTTTCATTTTCCTATCTCATTCATCTGGGTTTGGATTATTTTTTTGTTTTTTTTGTTCTGCCTTCTTTGGTCGTTTTTATTTGTGGTTTTGGTTTGTTTTCTTTCTGTGATTTTGGTCGACGCTGTCTTGATTCATTTGGGTTTTGGTGCAGGATTTTTCGATTCATCTAGGCTTTAGTGGAGGCTTCTTTCATTTTCCTGATTTGCCTTTATGTTGGTTTAGCTGGTGATTTTAGTTTGAAGTTTGAGTTTTTGTGTGGTTTTGGAGAAGTGCATGTTCTATGTTCTTTTCCTTTCTTGGTGATTGTAATGCTTTTTTCGTTGTTTTTGTTAGTTGTTTGCTTTTGTGGCTGGGGTGGTTTTGTTTTTTTATAATTATAAAAAACTGTTACAATTTCCCAATGGCTGATAGGTAGTAAGTTTTAATTATAGAAATCTGTTACAATTTCCCAATGGCTGATAGGTAGAATTTTTGAAAAAAATTTATATAATATTTTATTTTTCTTCTCGATTGATTCTTTTGTTTAGAAAGAAGTTTCTACGTAGATGGTTGCATGCTTTTTTTTAGTTCATCTTGATTTTCTTTTTTTTTTTTTCATTTATTGGCCTCATGATTCGTGTTGTCCACGGCGCTGATTTGTCCTGCCACCTTCATCAATTGTACTCATTTTGCTGCAGATGCATTAAATAAATTCGTGATTTTTCTGAATTGTCTGAGGCATGTGAAAAATCTGGAAAAAAAAAATATTGTGACTCTTTTTCTTCTTATTTCTTTTCGTTTTTCTTCCTCTGATCTGATTATTAAATGCGTGTTCTATTTTCTTTTTTTTTCCTTTTTCCTATTGTTTTATTAGTTAAAATTAGGAAATTTTTGTTCTGTTATTTGTATCCACTGACTTTGTGCTCTTATGTCCTGTTATTTGTATCCACTGACTTTGTGCTCTTATGTCCTGCCACGTTGATTAATTGTACTCATTATGCTGCAGATGTATTAAATGTTCTGTTATTTGTATCCACCGACTTTGTGCTCTTATGTCCTGTCACGTTGATTGACTGTACTCATTATGTTACAGATGTATTAAATGAATTCATGATTTTGGTAAATTGTCTGAGGCAGGTGAAAAATCTGAGAAAAAAGATATTGTGACTCTTTTTCTTCTTATTTATTTCCGTTTTTCCTTTGATCTGATTATTATATTCATGTTCTATTTTTTTTTTTTTTCCTTTTTCTTATTGTAAATTAAGCCTTGCTTTTATTACTTAAAATTAGGAAATTTTTGTTCTGTTATTTGTATCCACCGACTTTGTACTCTTATGTCCTGTCACGTTGATTTATTGTACTCATTATGCTGTAGATGTATTAAATGAATTCATGATTTTTGTAAATTGTCTGAGGCAGGTGAAAAATCTGGGAAAAATGAATATTGGCTTAGTTTGGTAATGCTGTAGATTTTAGAATAATTGCTTTTAGCTATACTGAAAGAAGAAGCAGTTGTTACAAGAAGTAGTTGAATATTTAGTAAATTATAATTATAATAGCTGTGCTGATTTTAAAATCAGTGTAATAGTGTTTGATAAATTTTGAGGTTGAATTGCTGTTGGTATGTAAAATGACCAAAATAGATATAATATAAAATTTAAATATATATAATTATTTTTAGTATTTAGAAATACTTGTTTAATTTAAAAAAAAATAATGTTATGATTTTAAATTTTGTAACAATAAATTTATGATAATTAATTTTTTTTTTCATTTCTTAATTCACAATATAATTATAACTAAAAAGAGCATTAGTGACAATATGATAGGGTTCGAGTTGTGAAATTGTTTTGTGCTCTCTCTTGCAAAGCTTGGCAGGGACAATTGCAGTCTTGGTAACGCAACCAAATACCATAATTATTAATTTTGGTGGGGTTCTCAAAACTCTCTGAGAAAATATGATAAATTTGTTGATAAATTTCATGCTAAGAAACGGGTTAAGTCAAATGATAATTAATTATAGAATCACAAATAAAGAACATTTCAAACATATTGATATCCATACACACACCACTTCCTGCCATGGGGCTGCTGCGACTTTTCGTATAAAGAAAATCAAAATTGTATGTCATGCTGTTTAAAAGAAACTATACTCCAATGTCCAAAGGAACAATAGGGGCGAGGGAGGTACATAAATAGAATAATATATTTACAAAATAAAAAACACAGCATAACAAACAAGGAGACAAATAGCTAAAACTCTAGAGCTACCAGTGGTGGCAGACAATCATCCGCATGCCTCCTGAGGACAGAGAATCCGCCATGGGTGCTTGTATCAGAAGCAGTCAGTGTCTTGCAAAATGAATGCACAGTGCATCTTGAAGGTTCTGGAAGTGGAGGATCGGGGCTAGTAACCTCGCTTTGCTGATCCAAGAATATGAATACGCGTAAATCAAGTAAGATTACATGCGTTTGCTTTGCAAACAAATATGACTAAATACTATGCAAACCACAACGTAATAATTATAGTTATTGTAAACCGACAAATAGATAAATGAATTCAAAATTGGCTACGAAACTCATAGAGCTAAAAAGGCATGAAGGAAAAGAAAGGCTCACATCTTGTTCTGGTAATAGTGTAATTTGTGCCTATTCTTCATCTGTTTCCATTTCAGCCTGCACTCCAAGTTAAAAGTAAAACTGAGTAATGCTCGCATCAAAACAAGCCATCCACTTAAAAAGATTAATCACGGAAGAGCATAATTCATGGAAAAAATTACCCGAAGCTGAACATTAAAAACTTTACAAAGAAATTTAGATGGGAGATTAAATGAAGGCATTTGCTGCTCTTGCCCCTGATGCATAGATGCTTCTAGAGATCAGAATTCAACCGTTGTACTTCGCCATTTACATGAAATTCTGGTTGCTAGTTTCACCTACATTAGTTCTAAAATTTACACAATTAGAGAACATCCCTTTGAGATAAAATAACAAACATATGTTAATTGGCATCCTACCTCTTGCGTTTACTCTTTAAAGAAGGGTGAAAGGTTATTGTGCCAGTTCTACTTTCAAGAAGAAGAAGAAACAAAAGCATCCAAATTCTGCATAATGATGCAAATTCAACACAACATAAGGGCAACAAGCTTGCCTTTTACACCTGCAAATTCAATATTTCTATTCGTTTATTCCAAATTAACCGAAATTATATCCAAGAGAATTAAAAGAAAAAGAAAGAACATGATTGCATTCACAAAATTCAACATGTCATTTTGAGTTCAACAAAAATTTGGCGCCGGAAATTCAATTTACATAACCATTTACAAGCCAATTCTCAACCAAGAAATCCAACAAATCCCAATTACCTAATAAAATCCAAACATGAAGAATAGAGAAACAACATTAAATTTCGAAAATACACACACACACACACATATAAAGAAACGAAGATTGAATGTTTAGTATTTTACCAGAATCTGGATAAACAAGATAGAAATCCAAGTGAAAAGGAACATCAGCAAATCGAAGGTACCCGCCAAACCCACACCCACGCCCACACAACAATGACGTCGTTTCCTTCTTCCTCTGACCAACTCAAGCAGGAGCCGGTCATCATTTACACCGTCTCTCCCAAACAAACGAAATACAGAGCAGAGAAAAAAAAAGATTTTCCCAAAATCCATCAATCCAGAGAACAAAACACCAAATCGACATTCAATACAAAACTAAATGGAGTACTTACAGAGGCTATTGATCTGATGAGCTGCAACCGGCAATCTGACGGTGTCCAACTGGCCCGAAATCAGGTAACCCTAACAAGAACAAACCCAGTCTCACCGAAAGAACACATAGAGAGTAGAGACTCTGCCTCGCCGAAAAATGCAGGAACAACTCAGAAACGGAGAGAGGGGAGTCCTAGATAACAGAGTGAGAAGAGAGAAACAGAAAGAGAGTGCTTTGCCTAAGGGAGAGCTCGTGAAGAGCAAGAGAGAGGAGAGTGCGAAGGGGTGAAAATTGGGATGGAGATTTCTTACATTCAGCAGGGTTAATTTGAGAAATAAAAACAATTCATTGAATATGGCAATGGATTCCCGCACAATCCAGAATCAGAAGCACTGCCCAAATTCCACACAAATTTTTTAAAAAGTACTTTTTAAAGTTTTTACTAAACACAAAAAAATACTTTAACTAGATAGAGAATTCATTTTAAGCTCCTAAAATCTCTACCAAACCCACCTATTGTGACTCTTTTTCTTCTTATTTCTTCATATTTTTCTTTTTCTGATCTGATTATTATATTCATGTTCTATTTTTTTTCGTTTTCCTTTTTCTTATTGTAAATTAAGTCTTGCTTTTATTACTTAAAATTAAGAAATTTTTGTTCTATCATTTTTATCCACCGACTTTGTGCTCTTATGTGTGATGTTATTAGAGGTTGTGGACTGTTTAGATTTTTTCTCTTTGCTCTCTATTTATAAATGCTGCTGCACCTGAATTTATCATCTATGAATCTGTTTTCTTCCCTTGCATTTTACATTTATCATCTATACCTCTGTTTTTTCCCTTGCATTTCACGTCTTTGCCCCTCTGTTTCACTTTCAATCATTTACTGCTTTGTTTCGTTGTACATCATTTATCGCTATGTTTTTTTTCTCAGTGTCTTTTCACTCTTTCTCCTTACACTCGGTTGGTTGATATCTCAGACTTAAGACATTATTTATACCGTCTCAGGTATTATTTATAATCCTTATCCACAACTTTTTAATTTCTAATACTGATATTGGATGTATTGGTTTCCTGCTGTGGTATTAATTTTTGTTCTTTGCGTTTTATTATCTATATTTATTTTCCTTCATATTTCTTTACTACATGATGCTGATATGTTCACTTTTTCTTTATTTGTTTCTTAGAAACTCATGTATATATATAGTTTTATTTAACGTATTTTAATCTTAGAAAGTTCTTTTTCGTGGCGGTGATGACTATAATTAACCTTTGCATGTTGAGTTCTATGTAATTTGTTTAAAGATTACTGTGAATATCTTTTTCTCGCTTGGAGTCTGGTTTTATTTGTTGTTTTTTACAAAGCTTTTTGGATTTTTCTTTTTAAAAAAAAAAAAAAAAACTTATTCTACAGCTTTTGCCCTCTTGGTATTTACTGTTTTATTCAAAAGCTGTTTATACATGTACTAGCTTTCTTTTTCCACTACTGAGCTTTGGCTGTCCCATTTTGTTGTTACCGTTCAGGAAAAAAATTGTCCAATCCTTTTTGCTATTTACCGTTTCATTCAAGAGGTGTTTGTACATGCAACAGCTTTCTTTTTGTATTACTAACCTTCGACTTCCTTACTCCGTTGTTATCATTTCATACAAAAAAATTCCCTGCAGGAAAAAAACAAAACAAAAAGAGAGGCCTTATTATTTTATTCTCATCTCCTTATTGTATTCATCACCTTTTTATTCATGTATTTGTTGTTGTTTAGTGTGTCTCTTTTGTCTATTTTTTTCATTTTATTTGGTCATACATTCTATGTTACATTACGCCTTTTATGTTGTTTTCTCCTTTTTTTTTTTTGCTCTATCTTTAATTCACTTGGTAGTACAACTCTACATGTTACTCAAGTTATCCATTGTGTGTCACAATCAAATTATAATTTGTGTGATAAATATAATATGTTATCCTTTTGTGCAGTTGCCCTTAGTAGGCAGCCATAATCTATTTATCACACGTTACTGAAAATATTAAATACCTGAACCATGATAGCTGCATAAACATACTATCATACTTATATTTATTGATTTTTCCAGTTTCATTTTTTTCCATTGCCCTGGTTACTCTATTTACTTATTTATTTATTTCTATTTCACAAGGTGTTTTACTATTTCTTGATCCATCATGTTATTTCGATGCCGGACACTGCTGTTGACATTTGGTCGGCTTATATCTACCACTTCAGCTAAAATCTGAGCGTTCCAGGTACTATTACCAATCTTTGTCCATAACTTTTAAATTTTTATATACTAATATTGTATCTGTTAGTTTGCTGGAATGTGATTAATATTTGTTGTTCATGTTTCATTTTTTGCTTTTATTTTCTTTTGTATTTGCCTTATACATGATGTTCATATATTCACTTCCTGTTTTTTTTTTTTTCTTTCCTTCTTCTTAGCAACATATATATGCATATATATGTTTACTTAACATTTTTTAGTTTTAGTAACTCTCTTTATGTAACAATGATGACTATAATTGATTTTAACATATTGAGTTTTTTGACATTTATCTACATATTGTTACAAGTTTGGTTGCCTTATTTGGAATATGCTTTTATCCATTGTTCTTAAGTCAAATATTTTGATAATTTCTTCTTTGTTGCTCTTAGTCATTCTACAACTTTTGCCTTTTTCGTCTTTGTTGTTTCATTCAAAAACTGTCTTTGCTTGCATTAGTTTCATTTTTCTACTGCTCAAGCTTAATTTTCCAATTTTATTGTTACTATTTCACAACAAAAAAAAACCCCCTTGATTCCTCTTTGGTATATAGTGTTTTCTTTAAAAAAAAAAAAAAAAAAAAAAAAAAAAAAAAAAACTGCTTATAGATGTATTAGCTTTATTCTCTTATTGCTGAAATTTCGCTTCCCCATCCTGTTGTTACTATTTGACACAAAAATTCCCAAGACGCAAAAAACACAAATGTCGCTCTTTTATTTAAATCACTTCATGACATTATTCATCCTTTTATGCTTCTATTTGTTCTTGGTTAGTCTATTTCTTTTCTTTGTTTCTTTTATTTTATTATATAAAGATAGTATTATACCTATCTTTATAAGCTTTTTGAGTCCTTTTTGTTTCCCTTTATTTATTTATTTACTCATTTACTATTTATTTATATTTTTCTAGGTTTTCTACCATTTGTTGCTGCATTGTCTTATCCCTGTGTCACTAACTGCTATTGACTTTTCATTGCCTCATATTGCTACCTGATGCAAGGCTTATAGTGTTTGAGGTATTATCAATAATTTTTGTACATAATTTTTAATTTCCTCTTATTTATATTGCATGCATTGATTGGCTATGCTAACTGCAAAAATCTGCTATTCATACTTTATTACTATTGCTTAGATTTGATTTTCTTGCCCTATTAATAAAATATTCCTAATCTAACATTTTGACAAAAATTGTGTTTCAGTCTCAAGAAATGTTATTACTGCTAGAAGTGTACTAAAGAAGAACTGGGATTTATTGTTCATATGGACTCATTTTATTGTTACTTATGCAATAGAACATTGTCTTTGCCCTTTTTTTTTCTCTTTCCTTCCTATTAGCTGCCTGGCCTTTTTTTTCCCTCTCTACTTCTCTCTTTCTTTTTCATTCATTTTCCTTTTCTTGAATACTGTTTGGAATTTTTTCTCCTTTTTTTTGAAGGAAAAAAGTTTGGGTATTGTGTTTAACCGAAGAAGCTTTTCTTTTGTATTCTTTGTGCACCGCCTTATAACCATTACGTGTGACATTACTATTGGTTATCTTACTCTTTATATGTGTAAAATGTTGTCGTATATTTTAATTTCTACTGTCTAAATTCTCTCCTGTTTCCTCCTTCACACCAAACATCCTTCCTTCTCTGTTCCATCGTGAATCATTTATTGCTCTGCTTTACCCTGGTTTATTTATTACTCCATTGTGTTAGTTCTGTTTCTTTGGCTTTGACTTGGCTGATATAGGCTATTTAACGCAGGACTGAGAATATTTCAGGTATCATTAAGGATTTTTGTCCAAGTGTTATTAATATTTGTTGTTGATGCTGAATATGTTGCTTTGTTGTATTATTATTGGTTTATGTCATTTTCTATAGTGTTCAGAAGCATTTATTGTTTCTCATTGTAAATAAACCTTAATCGTATATAATTATGTTTACCTGTAATCTATATCAATTGTGTAGTAGTATATATATCTCTTTGTATTTCTATTTAACATATTTTTCCCTTAATTGGTTCTAATATAGAAAAGTGATTGTTACAATCGTTTTTGCCTATTTGTTTCTATACCATTTCCTCAGAAATTGCAGTGACTGTATTTTTAGCTATCTAGATTCTTATTTTAAATTATAATATAGTTCATAATGATTGAATACAATTGTTTGAATATTTGCTTTTTTCTTCCTTTTTACTTGCTCTAACATTCTTGGCTTTTCGGTTGTTTGGTCTTATTTTGGTCTACTTACTGCTCAGCCGCTTAACTTATCTATGTTTTATCTGTATTTGGCTGGCTTATAGTTCGTGTTTAAGGCCATATTCAGAGCATTACAAGTACTTTTACTACTTATTTCTCTATATGCTCCTTATATAAGTTATTGATATTGGATATATTTTGTGTTGATTTGTGTTGTTTATTATGCTATTGATAAAAATTTGTTCCTACTTCTATAATTGTTCTTTTCTATGTCTTATTGGTCTATAGTAATGGAATTTTTATTCCTTATTGACTTTTTGATAATCATATATGCATATATGTTTACCGATTTTTTAGTTAGCATATTTAATTCTTTCTTGGCTTTGATATATGCCAATGCTAATTATAATCAGGTTTGATTTCACTTTTATATGATGAGTCTAAAAATTATTGCCTTATTTGTATTTACTAACACAGTTTAAATATTTTTCCCTTCTTTTGTCCATTCCTCATTCTTCTTCTTCTTTAGTGTGTGGTGATGATGCTTATTTTCAATTTTGGCCGATCTAATTTGTCCAAATATTGCTGTGAATAAGTCCTTAGTTGCATTTTGATTTTGTCCATTTTTTTCACCAAAACTGTTTAAATACTTTTCTTTTTGCTGTTTTGGTTTATTTTAAAATTTTAGATGCCTATCTTTATTGGATTAAGATTTTATTTATTCCTATTTACTCAGTTTTCCCATAATATATTCTCTTTTATGATCTCAGAAAGTTAATTCTCAATAGAAGAATAATATCACTTTTGCTATTTTCCGTTCATTATGTCTTCTATTGTACAACTCTTTATTTCTTTTTTTCTTTCCTTTGCCCGTGCCACCTTTTCTCATGTTTTTTCTTCCTTCACTTTACAAAGGTTGTATCCAATGCTGTCCCTATTGGCTTTTATATCTTATATTTTACTGCTTCTTCTGTCGTTGGCCTTAGTTGTTTACTTATTTTTATCCAATTGAAGGTTGAATATAGATTACTTATTTGGTATCCTCATTCTATCTTATTCTATCTCCTTATTTAGATAAA